TCAAAGCGGACTTTTCTCTCTTTTCTCCCCACTCTGTCTTCTCTGTTATTGCCCGGTTTCCCGTCTCCTTTGAAGTACAAAAAAAAAAAAAAAAAGTTACCGGTGGCCTCTGGGCTCACACGTGCAGGTCGGCGAGAGGACCATTCCGCCTCTTCGCCATTCCCGACGCACTCCACTTGTGAATGTATCTGTTTCTGTTCTAAACTTTTCTTGGCTCCTTCCAGCCCGGTGCAGTCCTGAAGCAGGAGCTCTAAACTCTTTGGAGAGTTTGCGCTCCACGAACTTGGAGCGTCTTGACTGGGAAAGAGGGAGGTGGGACGGTCTGAGTGAGTACCCCACCCCACCCAAAATACACACAGCCCAGGTTCTTTTAAGAGGAGGGCGCACAGGTTCATAGAGAGATGACAGGTTTCCGCGAGTGAAGCAGCTCTAGCCACGCAGACCCCCAAAACAGTGCAGATTGGAATTAAACTTCTCATTAGCTGCTTATTAAGTTAATTTAGTTTCCATTTCGATGTTCCTGATATTTTTTTAATAAACCGAACTCAGCAACTCGTTTTTTAAATTGATCCCAAAGATCTTAAATGAAATCTTTGCTATAGTGGTTTATATACCACAGCCATGCGCTATGATTGGGTATATGTACCTCATTATTATGAGGGGGGCTGTCACCACTAACCAAGAGCCCAGAGGGCTCACAGTACCAGCAGTCCAGAGGTTTGTTTGGTTTGGTTTTCGTCAGAGTCGTTTCAAAGATGTAAATGAACACTATTTCAAATGCTGTCATGTGCTTCCTCACCAGTAGGATCCCATTCATCTCTGTCCTTCTCTGTTTGACATGCCTGCAGCAATAGGCTGCATTCGAACTGTATGGATAATCCTGGACCGTATATGCATGATTAATGGATGCAAATAAACAGGTCTAAGAAAAGACAACTGTGAGAAGTCTTTTATTTATCTTCATTCCACCACTCTTCTCAAGATGTATTAGTCACGATGAGGAGCAGGCATTCTGAAATCAGCGCATGTGTTGAGAGATAGTGGCCCCTCTGTGTAGGCAGCGATGTCAACGCTCCACTACTCTACTGTGACCTCAGTTATTGTCC